AGGCAGCTGCTCGGCGGCTCGGGAGGGCCAGCGGGGCGGAAGGCAGGGCCGTCCGGGGTGAATAGAGCCGGCGCCCAAGGTGGGCTCTCCACCACAAGCAGAGAAGTCCCCCCCCTTAAGAAAGGATCCTGTTTGTTGGGGGGGGGTTGTCTCCCTATCTATTCCCCCCCAACCTCCCCATGTGAGCTTTCACAGGTGGAGAGTTTGTTGTTAACTGCCTAAATTCTTGTGAACTTTAAATGATCCTTTGCTTAAAATTCCTGAGAGCACTTATTATTTATTCATTTATTTATTTTAAATGTTTTTACTCAGCCTTTTCCCTTGAAATGGACCCAGAATAGTCTGCAAATACTGTACTAAAAAGGATCAAACTGACACCACTCTAAAAATGAGAAACAAAAGCCACACCGAAGGCTCATTCAAGGCAGTCAGGCACAACAGTCCCTTTAAATACCGCAAAGGCAGCCTGTCATTAAAGGAAAAGACAGCTAAGGTGGGGCCAGGCAGGCCTCCAGTGGGAGGGAGTTCCACAGTTTAAAGGAGCAGCCACAGAGAAGGCCCTCTCCTGTGTCCTCACCAAAGACACCTGTGAAGGTGGGAGAAGAGAGAGAAAGCCCCTCCCCCCCCCCGCATGATCTTAATTCCCGGGCAGGCTCATAATGGGAGTCACAGACCTTGAGATAGCTGGGACCCAAACTGTCCTGGGTTTTATTAGTGAAAAAGAACATTTTTAATTGTGCCGAGAAACTGATCAGCCGCCAGTGGAGCTGCTGTAATGGGGAGTGGGGTGAGTTTATGTGATCCCTGTGTCCAGTCCCCGTCAGCCCTCCGGCTCCCACGATTTGGACCTGCTGAGGTTTCCTGACACTTTCCAGATGTAGCCCCATCTAGAGTGAGTTCCAGTTATCCAGCCAGGATGTAATTTAGCATAATATCTTCATTATATTGGAGAAAATGTTGCTCATTCATACGGCCGGTTGGGCTGTGGGATTCATCTCTTGTGTCGTTTCAATGCCTCTCGCTCGTTAGCCTTTCTCTGGATGCATGGTAGTGGTGTGCTGAGGTTTCCTCTGGAGCAACATTGTGTTGGGAGGATTTCTTGATGCCATATGATTGATTTCAGGATGGTTTGATCCTGAATGGGCAATGAAGAAGTATTAACTGTACCAAGCACCGGCCCCCAGTGGAAATGAAAACGGGTAGAACTGCTCTGTCAGTTTTGGTACGAATGACCTCTTGCTGCAGAATCTCAAGCTGGTTCTTTCCTGTTTCTTTCCTGTGCAGCCTCAGATCCTCCATCCAAAGTCCAACGTGCGCCCCATGACGTTGCTCTTTGCCTCTTCAGGGTGCTATTAATGATCAGATGATCCTAATAAACTAGTTGTTATGATTATGCTGGTTTGGGGGCGGGGCAGGTGGAAGGGAGTGCATGTGTCTCATATATACTTCCAGTGTGTTAGTAAGTTGCAGGAAAAACAGCAAAGAGTTAGTGAGTCATTAAGAGCAGACAAGTTTTGTTTAGACTATTTCCTGGATTGTGGATTTATTTATTTTGTGATACATGAAAGAGATAAACACACGTACGTATGCAGGCAAAGATGTGGACAAGAGCTTGAAAAGTTGTTTTTTGAAAGTCATTACTTACACCTGTGGTTCTACAATTCCCCCCCCCAAGCCGCTTGTTGCCATTGTTGTTCCAGTTTTTTTTTAAAGTAACTATTTACAGCATCCTAAAAGTATTTGTCTGTATAGCTCAGGGAGTTGGAGACCTGGCTGCAGAACCAGAAGTTGAGAGTTCAATGGCCCACTTTTCATCCCAAGTGAACAGCCAGCCTGTGTGGCCTTGGGCAAGCTGCAGGGGTGGGTGGGTGAATGGGTGGGTGGGCAGCAACGCCAGAAGCTGGCAAACCATGTCGGAGGGCTCTGTGCCTAGCAAACCTTGGACAGGGCTGCCAGTGGTCAGAATAGACTTGCTGCTATGTTGCTGATTAAAAAGGAATGAGGGAGGGACGGGATGGGACGGGACGGGACGGGACGGGACAAGACAGACAGACAGACAGACAGACAGACAGACAGACAGACAGACAGACAGACAGACAGGCTTCCAGGGATTTCCCCCCCCCAAGCCGCTTGTTGCCATTGTTGTTCCAGTTTTTTTTTAAAGTAACTATTTACAGCATCCTAAAAGTATTTGTCTGTATAGCTCAGGGAGTTGGAGACCTGGCTGCAGAACCAGAAGTTGAGAGTTCAATGGCCCACTTTTCATCCCAAGTGAACAGCCAGCCTGTGTGGCCTTGGGCAAGCTGCAGGGGTGGGTGGGTGTTTGGGTGGGTGGGCAGCAACACCAGAAGCTGGCAAACCATGTCGAAGGGCTCTGTGCCTAGCAAACCTTGGACAGGGCTGCCAGTGGTCAGAATAGACTTGCTGCTATGTTGCTGATTAAAAAGGAATGAGGGAGGGACGGGATGGGACGGGACGGGACGGGACGGGACAAGACAGACAGACAGACAGACAGACAGACAGACAGACAGACAGACAGACAGACAGACAGGCTTCCAGGGATTTGGGACTCCAGGCTTCTGGGCACTGGATGTCTGCCTTTTTTGGACTCTCCCCCTTGGAAAGGCGGCTGTGGGCACTTCCACGAGGGGTGCTCATGTTGTGACATTTCCTCTAGTGCCGCCACTGCTTATAGCGTCTTGGCCAGTGCCAGCCCTAGACGTAGAGACCAGCTTTCCCACGGCCACCATAGGGCTGGCCCTCGTGCTGTCTCAACCCCTGCCTTCCTTGGTTTGCCCACCTTCCTGAAACAAGCTCTTTTGCCCTTCTGTGTGGCAGGGATTGCTCAGTTTTGCCTTTCCTTTGATGTGTGCCCACACACACACACACACACTTTGGACCCGTGTTTAAAGGCACAGGCCCCCGGAGTCTATGGGTTTTTGCAGCCAGAGCTGGTGGCACCTTGAAGTTTTGTTTGGCCTGAGGTCTTATGATGTGAGGCCCGATTAGCTTCAGACAAGGCTTGCAGTGCATAAAAGCCTGCTTGTCTGCGTCACCAAAATATGAAAAATGCTGATTTATGCCAAATGAAACTAGTCAGTCTTCAAGGAATCACAAAGTTCTATGTTGTTTCAGCTGTCTTTTGTTGAACAGCTGGGAGGTGCCCATCTTGAGATGGAATGAGATGGACCTGCTTACTGGAGCTGCTCTGCTAGGCTCGCCCTCACCTTTGAACGGCAGCTGCCATGCGGCACCGCCGGCGGTTCGGGACCAGGGAGTCTCAGCCCAGACCTTTCCTAAGGATGGAGATATCCAGGCCTGGAAAGACGGCGAGACAAGACGGCATCTTTTATAGTGAGCAAGCGTGGGAGGACTTGCAGGGAGGCTCGCCAATGTTGTGACCATCGCCAAAACGTCCCCCTGGTTTCAGAGGCTGCCAGAGGGTGCGAGGATCTGGGGGCAGAGGAAGGAGGAGGCTTCCCTTGGCCCTCCCCTGCACATGTCCCACAGCCGTTAGCATGTTGGGGGTTGGAGAGCCCATCGTCTCTCCCATGGACCGCTGTTTATGACCTGATGCTCACCCCCTTGGGAGGCTCTGTTTCTCTCCCTCCTTAAGCAACTTTGAGGCCAGCCACAAATTTTGCAGTGGGATCCTTGTGACCAGGAAGCCAGAGGCTCCTGGATATTTTTACAGGAAGGACCTGGCCAGTTCAGTTCAAGGGGCAATCCCTGGAACAAAGGTGAGAAGCACAAGTATGGAGAGAGGGGTCTCTCATTTCCAACTGTAGCAAAATACTTTTAGTGTAATAAAGATAAGATGAATAGGGACGCGAACCCAGATGAAACCCCTTATTTTTCACCTCCAAAGGCTGCAGTCGTGGGATGCTGCTGGCCTTCCCTGGGCAGCTCTAGTGTGGGAAGGGGGCTCCTCCTCAGCAGCAGTGGTTTGCTAGCCCCCCCCCCCGCTTTTCTCTTCCTCCTTTGGGGCACATCATCTTCTCTCTGGCTGGAGTCTCAGGGACTCTGACAGAAATCTGAGGGTCTGCCTTGAAGGTAGCAATGGCCACCCTTTGCATCGTCTGCCTTTGCCGAAGTCCTTCTGGGCCAACACGCCAGGTATGCGTTGCACCTTGAGGGGCTTCCCTGGGGCTGAAACTGCCCTCTCCGCTTCCTCCGCTTCCTGGTCCTGCTGGAAGGCAGGAGGGCTTGGGGGGTTAATGTCGGCCTCTTCCTCCATAGCCAGTGATCTGCCGGCCCTGAGACTGGCTGAGGAAATAACTGTGGGGAAATTGTGGACAAGCACAGTGGCGTGACGATTGCAACACCTTTAATGGCAGTTAGGGAAAAGATCTTCCCTTCCCCTTGGTAGGTATGTCCTGTTTGGTCTCTTCGGAGTCCTCCTGGCATTTGGGAGTGGCTTCTGATAAAGCTTGAGGCTGCCGGACTTTATCAAACCCCTCTTTACCTTTGCTGTCATGAACAATTGATCTCCCTATCAACATGTGTCGTGGGGTGTTGTTCGGGTGATAGCTGTGCTGGACTCCTTGGTGCAGTTTTCTTTGCTGGCCTTCTGGAAAGGTCGTCCTTGGCCCCTCTTGGCCCCAGGCCTTCCTGCACCCTCAGGGTTGTTTTGCAACCCACCTTCTTTTAACTCTGATTTTTTTTTTCACTAACCCTGCGTTTGAGTCCGTAACCCTTTCTGTCTTGAGTCACTTCTTAAAGCACAAAGCAGCGTGTAAACTGATCTAATATAGGTCATGAACTTAAAATAACATAGAATCTTAATTCCTGGCCTGGCCTTTAAAAAACAGAAAGAAAGAAAGAAAAAGGGGGGGAGGAATCAGGTCCCTTCTCTAAAACCTGCCAGGCAACTTTGGCTAAATACTTCAGCTCATGCATTCATTCCTTTTGAAGGTGGGTCTCTCTCAGGTCGGGTCATCTTCTCTCTTTGGACTTCTGTTGCCCTGTGCCATCCGGGCACTTCTCACAGGGATTCTGATGTTTGTGAGATGTTCACGGACTGATTTCACCATTGACACCCATCCAGGACTGAGCACGGATTCGAAGCCAGGTTTGCTGAGTCCGATGCTCTGTCCACCCCACCGCATGGGCTGTCTCTTTGGTCCGAGGTGGTTCTAACAGCCCGTCTTGAGAAGCCCTTCTGGGCCATGTTGTGTAACAGAAAGATGATCCTTAGCTAATGTGCCTAATTGGCAACCCTTAACAGCGTTGTTCTAGAGAAGGACAAAGCTTCTCCTGCTTCTTGGGAGTCATAGTTTCACTGCCAATTAGGTTTCATAGAGGGTGCCTCCCAAAGAATTCTGACTCTCGGGAGGCGCCACAGCAGTGTGCTAGCCCGCCTTTTTTTTTTTTTACAGCTCAGCAACAGGCAGTAAATGCTGATGGTGTGTGTAAAAAAAAAAGCTGATGTGCAGGTTAAAAAAAATCAAAACAAAGCCCTTCTTTAGAAGGGCAAAACATACAGATGTGTTGATTTCAGTTTGTGGGCTGCAATTCCTGGAGTTCTTGGAGAATTCTGGGGATGGGAGCCCATTCGTAACGAAGGTGCTGAGTTTGAGGTGGGGATTTTTTTCATGGAGAGCTTTGCTCTGGCACTGAGCTGGCAGGAGGCCAAGAGATGACATTTCAAACGACTTTATACCATATTCGGTTCCTTACTATTGGCTCTGCTGTTTAGGCGTGATGGGAGTTGTAGTCTGAAGCAGCAGGAGGGGGCCAGGTTGCCTCTATGTGCAATCTAGACTGGGCCTCGGCTGAGGCTGATCCTCCCGGGATCCTGTTCCAATGCCACATACGGGTGGCTGCTTGGGGGAAGATGGCACAAGTGGCCTTCTTGGCTGGGGGTCGGCTGTGAAGCCGGAAGGCGACGGGGGGGTTCCAAATGGGCTTTACAAGTTCAGGACATTTCAGAGAGTCTGGCGCTGATGATGGAAGGAAGGGGCCCTTCTTGGAGGGGAGAAGCCATTACCTCTTGGGGGGGGTGGGCTTTCACTTAGGCTGGGTTTCAGAAAGCTTCTGGATGCGCAGCTCAGGGACCAGTGGTCTGAGCCGTGCATTTCTGTCCCTCCTTTTCCTTTCTGGAAAAGCCCTCGGGCGCTTCCCTCTGGGATTTGCCTTCCTCCCCGTGTGTTTCCTTGCCAGGGCAGTGGCGGCATAAGGGAGGATCCGTTCCCTTTCAGGATGGCTGAGCAGGAAGGGGGGCCACCCTTGCCTTTCCTAATAAGTGGGCACGTCGGTGGCAGGTGCAGAGGAGAGCTTCCCGAGAAGGGCTCTGCCCCACCACGCGTGGCCCCCCCTCCCAGAGGCAGAGTCTGTTTTGGCAAAACCCTCCCTCGGCCCGTCCTCAGGACCCCTTCCTCCTCCTCCTCCTCCGTGCAGGAAGGCGGCAGCAGAGCTGGGATGGCGAACGACCAGGTGAAGAACCTCCAGAGTGAGGTGGAGGGAGTCAAGAACATCATGACACAGAACGTGGAGCGGATCCTGGCCAGGGGAGAGAACCTGGACCACCTGCGCAACAAGACAGAGGACCTGGAAGCGACCGTAAGTGGCTGGGAAGGAGGGGCCCCTCAGAGGCTGGGAGAAGGGGCTTGTGAGGGGAAACCGCCCCCTGGCTCTCCGAAGTGAACCCCCGGGGGGTCTCCCTCCTTGTCCACCTTCCCCCACAAAGCCAGGGGACCCCCCAGGAATGGGTCTCTTGGAAGGGGGTACAGGAAGGATGGAGGGGGGCCCATCCGGGGGGGGGGCTTCTGCCTAAGACCTGGCAGTGTGTGTGCATGGGGGGGAGAACTGAAGGTCTGCTGGCGAGGGGCCACCCGCTCTCCAGGCTCTTGACTGAGGGCCCGTCTCTCTTGGCTGCAGTCGGAACACTTCAAGACGACCTCCCAGAAGGTGGCGCGCAAGTACTGGTGGAAGAATGTCAAGATGATTGCCATCATCTGCATCATTGTTGCCATCATCATCATCCTGATCATCCTCTTTGCCACCGGTGTCATTCCAACCTAAGCATCCTGCCTGCTGTTGGATTTCTTTCCGGCGCCTTCCCTTGACTCCTGTGTCGCCACCGGAAGCAGCAGCAGCTCCTCCTCCCTCCTCGTTCTCCTCCTTCGCCCCTTTCTTCTCCTTCTCCTTCCTTTTTCTGATGGCTGAAATTTCTTAACTGAACCAGAAGAGGCTCTCTAAGCCTCTTCTGGTTCAATTCCGTTTCCTGTAATTGCGGGCCAGGAAAGGACAATCTTAGCAGGACGTGTGGGTGCTTTCCAGCCTCTGGTGAACTCCTGAGAGGGGTGCCCGTGTGCTTCTTAAAATGATGACAGTAGTCCTCATGATGATCCTAAAATGTGGGAGAGAGGGGACTTAGCTCTCCTTTTCTTCCCCGCTGCCTTAGCCTCTTGCCCTTGACACAGGGCTTGGGGCCCAGATGTACATTTCGCCCCCCGGAAGGGCCACGTGCCTCAGTGGCCCAGGAGAAAGCGGCCTGCCTCCAACCACTTCCCCTTTGCTTGCCCACCTGCTCTCCGCACGGCCAGGCCCACCCTTTGATTAGCGCTGGCTGCTTTCGGCTCCTGCCTCTCCTGACCAAGGGCCTCTCTGATCTCTTTGTTTGTTTGTTTCTTTTAGAGGAGGGGTGTGTGTTCTTTTTCAAATTCGCTAACAGTAATAAATGTACATACCAGTCCTTGGCGAATACAGAAATCTGTTGAAAAGAATGTTTGTCTTTGGGACCCTCATTTCATAGCTCTAGCTCAGCGTCCCCTATATCCAGCACAGTTCTTTCCAAAGCCTTCCAAGCAGTTCCCGTCGGTTATTTCAGATCTGCAAGGATGCTAAGGATCTCTGACTTTCTGCAGGGCCCCACCTCTGGGTCAAAAAAGACGGGACAGAAAGCCTGTAAGCAGAAGAGGGAACTCCTCTGTGTTGGCCCCAAAAGTGGGGTCTCTCTTGTCTCTCCGTGTCTTCAAAGTGGATTGGTTGTCTCGAATTCAGTGTGGGATATTTCTTTTCTTTTTTAAATGCTGATTTCTCAGGCACCAGAAAGCCTGCCTGAACCACGTCTCTCCAGATGCAAGGGAGAGAGGATCTGCAAAATCACCTCCGTGCCAGTCTCTTATGAATCCTCTGCCAGCTGGCTTTCGGAGCAGGTTGAGACTCCTCCCCAGCCTCAAGTTACAATCTTGAGAGGTCATCATCAAATAAAGGATGTTTCTCTTTTCTCTTCTCTTCTCTTCTCTCTCTCTTTTTGAATGATGAACTTGGGAATATCCTTCCAAAAGTAAGCATGGAAGGGGATTTGGAAATAAGGATAAGAAGGACATAGGCACCCCCCTGTGGTTTGTAAGCAGAAGTTATAGGGAAAAGATGTTTTTTAATTTAATTTTTTTTAAAATTTCCAGTATGTGGACATACAGCTAGAGTGAGCTCTATGACATCTGAAAGAGAGAACTTGTAGGTTGGGATTCTTAGTCAGAAAGAAATTTTTCTGTTGTCTTAAATTTTGTTTTTTAGAAATCTATGTTTTTCAGAAATCTATTTATTTATTTATTTTGCAAGAACTAATTGTCTGGCACTCGGTTATCTAGAAGATAAATTTATTTATTTATTTATTTATTTAGCAAGAACTAATTGTCTGGCACTCCGTTATCTAGAAGATAATATTTCTGGAGAGTGTTTATAAAGCTCTCAACACATATTTCATGGTTTTATTAGAAATTTGTCTTTGTGAAATACCCTTCGACCAAGCACAGGATGTTGGAAAGGGCATTTGCCACTACGGTGACCAGCCAGAGCTGTGCCCTTCCCATGAGGGACAGGACCAGAGGCTGCTGTTCTAGCTTTCCGGGGGGGGGGCAGGGAGGGGGTAAGTTTAAGAAAAGAAAAAAAAAACACCTGTGGATATGTACCAAAAAATCATGCAGCAACCCTTAAGACTGACAGATTTTTTTGGCATCATGAATTGTTGTAGATTACACTCTGTGGATTTACCCTGTTTCCCCAAAAATAAGACCTAACCTGAAAATAAACCTTAGTATGATTTTTCAGGATGCTCGTAATATAAGCCCCACCCCCCCAAAATAAGCCCTAGTTAAGTGAAACCCCGCCCTCCACCCTTGTGCAGCAACCAGAAGATTACATGATTCTTTGAATAAATGTAGATTGTGGTACATAGGGGGAAAAAATTAAACATCCCCTGAAAATAAGCCCTACTGCAGTTTTTTGGAGCAAAAATTAATATAAGACCCTGTCTTATTTTCAGGGAAACACGGAAGTTAAAAGGAGTGGAGGAGGCAAAAGGAATTTTATTCAAGGGGAGTTGTGATGGGATTTATTTGTTTGTTTATTTGTTGATTTAAGATATTTTTTACCCAACTTTTCTCTTTAAAAGGACCCAAGGCGGCTTACAGCAATTAAAAGACAATATTTAAAAGCTAAAAATAGTAAGTATCCAAATATCAGAAAAGGAATTAAACAAGCATTACATCAAAACCCAGCATTTGCCCTAACCTGTTGGCTGCTGATAACGGGCCTGGCTCAGGTATCTGACCAGACGGACTCTCATAGCTTCAGAAATGGGCAAAACCTCAAAGCATCTCCAGAGGTCTTCCCTGTAGTTCCTGCTCAGCCGCTCTCGAAGGTCTTGGCTGCCCCACTGAGGGGCTGAGAGTTCCTCTATGCAGTTTCAGGGGCCAATTTCTCTTGGCCAATTGCAAGCATTTGGCTTCACTTCTGCAGCGGTTTGTGTTCTGGGCAGACTCCTCGGAACCAAGGCGGCTTCTGGGAGGCCTGGCAGGCATAGGGGGGAGGCTGGTCTGGGGCAGAGAGATCCCTGGGCAGGGCTGAGCAGGGCCTGTTAAAAACCCCCCCCCCCCGCCACCGCCAGTGCCCTGTAGGCAGCCACAGACATCCGCTCCGCTCTCTCCCGTGTGCCAGCCTTGCCAAAGCCCTCTTGCCCTCGGCACCCACAGGGGAGCCTGGCAGCTCTGGAGCACCAAGACTGACCTGCAGGAACCACTGTGGGAAACAGCCTGAACGTCTTGGCCTGTGTGGCCGCAGGAGGGCAACAAATGCCACGCACACACGCACACACGCACACACACACACACACACACACACACCCGAGGCCTGATATAACTGGGGTGGGCAGCGGGGGGGGGATGATAGTCCCTTCCCCTTCTCCACCCCCTGCCAAACCTTCATGCAACAGAGGAGCTGACCGTGCTTTTTGCCCTGCTTTGCTCCTCTGCCCAACAAGCTGCGCCAAAGGCAGGCAACTCAACGAAAGGAGGCACAGGAAAGGGAGGCAGGACGGTCTTTGGTCTTTCTGAGTGGCTGCAATTAGGCTGTCTGGAGCAATTTCCGCTCCCTCAGAACACTGGAATGGCAAGTGTCATGGGGGGGGGGCAGGCTGGTGACAAGAGGGGATTGTTCTGTTTGAAGAGGGGGAGGAGCAGCAAAGGGCTATCAATTAAAAGTCTGGAGAGCCCTCTGGCCCCAGGGGAGGTGGAAGGGGGAGAAGGAGCCCCTTGCTTAGCCAACTCAGGATCAGGAAGGAAAAGGAGAGGAGGAAAGGGAGGGGAGGGAAAGGAAGGGAGGCCGGGCAGAGAACACACCCCCCCCTCCCAAGAAAAGGGGGACTTGGCTGCAAAAGAGGTGGATCCCACCCTCCCCATCCTGGCAAGTGAACCAACGCCTCCACCAGGCTGCTTTCTCACCTCCCGCCTGATTCCTTTCCATCAGTCTAAGAGCAGGAACTCTCTTATTTGTAAGGAAGCTATTCTGCAAGTGTTTTGCACGGAAAGGGCGGGGGAGGGAGTTATTTAAAGAAGAAGAAGAAGAAGAAAGACTATGTGCCTTTCGACCAGCTGAGTCTACCCAGGTCGGCCTTAATCGGCAACCTCCCGTTGTTTGTCCAGCTCAGGATCAATATCCTGCAACGGGCCTGGACCACTCTGGCCAAGGCGACGAATCGTTCAGTTGATGTACAGAGCAGAGGCCGGGGTGCTCTCCTGATTGGGTGTGTGTGTGTCGTGTTTTGCAAAGCTCGACCCTCTTCACTCGCAGGGCCCATCCTGCACTTCAGGGACTCTCTCCCCTTTCAGGCTCAAGACAGCAGCTGCAGACCAGGTCCGGGCCCGGGGTCTTCCTGCCACGTCTGCCAGCAGGCTGATGGTCTCAGGTTCCCTGGCGGGATGACAGCCCTGCTGCCTTGGCCTCACCAGGGGACTTTCTTTCCATGCCAGACTTCTGCTTTCTGGAGAGAGGGCAGCTCCTCTGCACACACACACACACCCACACACCAATGCACTTGGCAAGCTGGGGCTGGGGAGGGGGGAGGGGGAGGGTGGACGTCAGGCCCAGCTCCGCCAAGTGCAGGATGAGGCCGAGGGGCCCTCCCGTGTCCACAAGGCCCTGCTTCATGAATCGGGAGCCCCGGGCAGAGAGCTGGGTTACCCTTCCATTGCAGGGGGCAGGCGCTGCCTTGAGGAAGCCCCCTCCTTCCACGTTCCACCATGTAATGAGAAAAGAAATTGAAAAGGTAACTAAAAGTGCCACCCAGCCTTTGTACAAACCCATCCTGGGACCACATCCAGAACAAGAAGAACCGTTCTTGTTTCAGAAAAACGGCGTGGAGCCAGAAAAGGGGGTGGGGGGGAGAAGAGCCACAGAAATGCTCGAAGGACAGGAGAGCAGTTCCTAACCCTAGGAAGAAGGAAAGTTTTAATCTCTGGGGGTTTTCAGCTTCACTGGGGAGTGGGGTGGGGAACCAGCAAGGGGAAACATGACAGAGGGGCATAGAATGCTCTCTTTCTCTCTCTCTCTCTCTCTCTCTCTCTGTCTCTCTCTCTCTCTCTCTGTGTCCTTTTTGTCCTTGACCTCCTCTCCTGGAAGCTTCTGTCCCTCCTGCTGAACCCCAGAGCCTGCCCGCCCTTGAGTGACCCCCGGCTGCCGAAACAACCTCTGGGAGGGGAGTGACAGCCCAGCCCGAGGCTAAGGCCACCTCCTTCCCCAGAGGGCCTTCAGCCTGGAAGGGGGGCCCGGGCACCGGACCCCTCCTCCTCCTCCTCCTCCTCCTCCTGGGTCGGAGGCCCGAGACGAGTGGCCAGAGGGTAACCGGAACTGCCCGGAGGACCTGGACAAGCGGGGTGTGTGTGCGTGTGCATGGCTCTGGACACACACACACACACACACACACACACGGAGAGAGAGAGAGAGAGGGCTCA